TCTTAAACATTGTGTAGATCTGCACAGTTTTACTTTTAAATGAAATTGAATGGCTTCGATAGGAGTGGGTTGCAAACGATGGAGATAGGCTCAGGTACAACTAAAATTACTAATGATTAGTATATTTGACAAATTGACCTAGAGCGTGCTTAAAGCCGAATAATTTTATTAAATAATTTACCAAAGTTCAAATTTCTGCTGATGTCGCTCGAAATTAATGCGCCATTTATCCAATTTTTATATTTTGACGGAAGAAATTGCGGCAGTAATGTTTACAAAGGAAGTCTGGAATTCGTTGCCACAGCCGGCATAAGTAGGGAATAAATTGAGAGAGGTCAGAAGTGTCGCTAGGTTGAGAGATCACAAATGTGGGTCGGTATTCGGAGCATATGTAATAAAAGCGGTTAATCTTTTGAGCCTGAACAACGGCATCAAAATCCCTCATACTCAGCTTGGGTATAAAACCATAACACAGAGGAACAATCCAAAAATTTAATTCTATTTTCTGACTAACTTCCTTAATCATGACGAATCCTTCTTATTAAGGCATGAACTCAACAAAGAGGTGTCGAACACACCGCGTTTCCTAAACTTTAGCTAGAAAGTGAGCATGAAGGCTTTGTTATAGGATCACCCTTATGGTGCTTCCTTTTGACTTGGGCTTGTGTAGTGTAGAAAGTGGAATAAAGTGGCTGCTTAGGCAGCTTTCACGCTACTACACCAAGTTTAATGTTTGTGTTTGATTAATGCTAAGGAACAAATCGCCATCTATCAAGAAGGAGTTATTGCTGCGATGTCTGCAACAAACACACAGGCTTAGGCCTTAGTGGGTTAAAACGGAAAATTACAGGACATCCTGTTTGGAACCTTTTTTCGGTTGCTTAAACATTACCGCTACCGAAAGTATACATGCGAAAACGGGGAAAATGCTGAAGTGTATGAAGGAGTTAAGAAAAGAGCTAAAGCGCTGTATGCCGTGCATGATAGCACAGTAGTTAACAGAGGTTTCCTTCCTCCGAAAATGTCTACCCACATTTTGCTAAGTGCAGTTTGAATAGCTGACTAGAGTAGAAAATAAATTAGCACTTTACAATAATGTCGCCACAAAATATGAGTTTTTAGTACCTTTGATTGTTTGGTGATGACCTTTTAAAGGTGAGACCAAAACCATTAATTTTGCTGGAATAAATTTCTCAAACTATTGCGGTTCAGAGCGCAACAATAAGGGCACCCGCATGGAACCTGACAAGAATCTGTGGATGAAGTGTTAATTTAGGATTGTTGGTTGCTGCCGCAGTCTTACATAAGAAGGGAGGAGTCAAAAAGTCAAAAATGTAACAATGATGCTCAAACGCCTTTACACTAGGTCGTGTACGGTGTCGAGATTAACTGAACGTTGGTGCATGTAGCTAACTCGATGCTGCTAATGCCTCTCCCTCATATCTCGCTCATTCACGCAAGTTCTTCGTAACTCAGTCCTAGTGCTCATTTTGACAGCGTCCAGTGCTCATCTGTTTGGTCGTATTTTTAGGACTAAAGTCTTGACAAGATTACCGAATTCAAATAATAGGGAGTAGTCAAACTATCATTAGAAGAAAGAAAAGCCGCCAAATAAATTTTAAAGTAAATTAAAGGAGGAGTATTAACAAAGCTACTAGTGAACATTAATCATATATCCTATTTTCAAAAGATACAGTTCTGCAAATCATTGCATCGGATAGCAAAAATCATGCAAATAAATTAATTTTAAAACCTAGAAATACCGTCTAAATTCTGCCTTTCTATCAAATTTTGGAATGGTAGTCGAGATCAGTAATGTGTTCTTATAATCGTTGAGAAGTCACTAAAGCGCGATTCTGGTTTGACGAAAGACAGGGCGGAACTCAATAGGGCCATAAAATTACGTGCAACTTGGATAAAATCATTTCAAAGCCTTGGTAGCAGCTATCAGCATTTGCTAATTTATTGTATTCATTTGCATTTGTCGTGAGCTTTGTAGGTCACATTGTTTTAAATCTCGATGATGTAATAAGTGCTAAAGAAGGCATTAAGAGCTTGTTAAGGTTTCCTTTCAGGGATTATGTCGACCTCATGGTAGCTTTGAAAAATTTGATCTCGTGAGTAAAAAAGGCTAGATGACGTATCGTCACTATCGCGGGTTTCATTACTACTTGTTACATGGACAGAATTAGTGGCCTTGATGTTATGCAGTCACTGATGAAAGGACTATGTTTAATAAAATCGCCTCAAAACGCTTCAGGGAGTGCAAAATAAAATCTGTTTATATTTTTGTACTTCAGGAAACTAAATACTCAAGTCGTAATAGTGGAATTTTACACAATGTGAAGCGATAATTTGAGGGGAATAAAGTGTGCATCACTGGGCCAACGTAATCTTGTAACTTAACTGTGTACGCTGGTGGCAACATGCAAGTGTGAATTTTGCCCATTGAAGTTGAGTGTCCGTGTTTTAAGTTGACTTTGCTTGGTCAGTCACAACGATCAAAGTGCGTAGTCGCATTAATCCGCCGCGTTCATATGATACGATCAACGCCTGTATTTCAACAAATCTTGCCTTTATATAAGTGATACCCCGCAAATTTGAGTGGAATCGAGCTACCCTAAGACTGGAAAATTGGTTTGATAATAAGAACTCCACAACACTTTTTGACATGTTAAAGAGAATCCAGTAGACCGCACTACTCCCGCGATAGTCCTCACTCCTGCATCTCCCCAAATGAAACACCGTGTCCAAGTAAATCCTCCTCCTGACACCAGTTCATGTTATGAGGCGTAGGATGAAGCGAATCATCTGGGAGTTGTGCGTGATAACAGCAACGCTTGTGTCGACCTATAACTCGGAACTCAAAGCGAGTGAGACTGTGCTTTTAGGTATTTTGTTTAAACGTTTTGCATAAAATACTATTCAAAGCAAGCCATCATGCCTAATTGTTAAGCAGTTTAAAAGTATTATTTTCAAAACGACTCCTGAATTTCGGTGCCATAACTGTTCGAATTTGAAGATCAAGCAAGTACTGGTAAATTTAGATTTAAGAATTGAGCCCTTCTGATTGATCTACTATACGACTTTCCTAATGATGAACGGGAGAAGGGAAGCCATACCAACATTTTCCTTAGTGATAAAAGGCGACTTGTCTTAAACGTTTTTTGATCCTTCTTTTTAGCAAAAGCGCCTCCTAACATTCTAAAGTCTTTATTTAAAATTTTTGAGGCAGATTGGTGAAATAAATAATGAATAAATTTATGATATGCTATTCAAGATCTGCCCGTTGAAAGATGATGGTCTTCAAATCTGCAATTAAGCAACCGCAAACCATCGCCTACTGCCGACCCTAATCCCCGGATCCTAAAGTGTGGACGGATTTTTGGAGATAAAAAAATTGGACTGCTAGGGGTCTTGGTCGAAGCCTTCAAGCCTTCCTTCTAACAATATTAATTGTTGTTTCTACCACTCATATTGTACTATCACTTGGAGGGTTGTTGCTATATCAATGCAAACTCATCTCCTGCAAAATCATAGGAGCACTTACTTTCTATTCACATTCGTTATGCACGCTTTTCTTGAGAATCACTTTACGTAAGGCGGTTTCGCTGTCTGTTTAAACAACTAAATCTAAGCTTGGGAGTCTAAAATACGTCTGTTTATCTGATCTCAGTTTAATTTAGTGTCGTATTTGCTGCCTGAAGTAAAATGGTATTAACTTGTGGTCAGAAATCAGATATATAGAGGTGCACGGCTTGCAAAACTAGAGCAGTTGATCCTTATGAATCACTTTAATACTTCCAAGACTTTCCATTTACCAATGAAATCTTACATACTTGTTGCAAAACCTTAAACTAACTAAAACTAAGACCATGAAGATAGCTCCTCGAACCCATCTCGAACACTTGGAAGGGAAACAAGTTAGCGCAATGCACACCAGTACCAAGAACTCCAAGATACAGCGCTGAATCAACTCATTTTGAATAGCAAAGCCTTACTCAGACCTAATGTTCTTGTTTATGGAATTTTAGGTAGTTGCATCCTTCCGAAATGAAACGTGCACTCCTTGATGACTTAAAATAAGTGGCCCGAGTCCACACCTTCGTTTTGCCTTTATTTTCATTTCTGCAATCTTAGAGTTATGAAATTACCCACATTAAGTGGTCATGTGAGTGATTTGCCCACGTAATAATGCGTTCTTTGCAGTTGCATTGGGTGGACCTATGTGGAGCATTAAGTTGTTTTACACTAAATAATTCAGAAGTGACTAGAGAAAAATTGACATGGTATTCGGAGCAGTTTTACAACACCTTAGAATACATCATGCTGAGAAGGCGCACCAACTTAACTTCTACTTAAATCTCCAAAAACTTTGCTGTGACACGGATGGGAAAAACGGCAATTAACGTAGCTCAAATTGGGGAATTAAGAAAGAGCTTTATCACATGCGCCTTTATGTTCTGATGGAGAATACACAATCAGAAGGTGATTAACCAAAGAAAGTTTTATGGCCCAATTTAGGGTGTTAAATTGTGGGCCAGTTTGGTCTGATGCACTTTTGAACTCACCAAAATCACTGTGAGGAAAGAAGAGGAAGAGAGTACAAAACGAGATGTTAACATTTTACTTTTGGAAAGAGTAGATTGGTTATGGAAGTGCAGAAAGCAAAGGAAAAAGTGGGGTATTGTGAGTCTGTTTATGTGTACGTGGAGGGGAGACGTTGGCGTGCGCGTATGACCCCATTTCCGTCTTTCTGGTGTCCAAGTAAGGTAGCGGCGCATGACACAAAAACTGGTACGCATTGCTGTTGGAAGTGTAGGTTGAAATGGTGGTGATTACATCCTTGAGCACCTCTCTAGTACCTCGAGTCTATAGAAAGGACATTAAGAGACAGGTGAGAATTATATAGGTTTGATATTTTATTGATCGACCTTCAACCTTTCAAAGTATATCAAATAAAATGCAGTCTAACATTCCACAACTAAAACTTACAGCTGTTACATAGAACCGCGTACTAGCATAATAAAATAGCGAAATAATCGAAGCATACTGTTAGCATAGGTATCCTCAATTTTCCTGGGACGTTTCTCGAAAACAGTTTCTCCGGCATCATCAAAGATGGCATACTCGCCATTTCTAGACTTGATAACTGAGGGTGGCAGCTTATCGGAGTCGATGGAGGAGATAGAGCTGTCTGATGAGCCATTACCATAACCTTTCGGTCGTTTCTGTTTTTTCGGCATCTCCATGGTCTTCCTGTATGATTGTATGCGCGTACTGAAGTCCGAACTTTGACCCACGATCACGACACGACCGTAGAGACTAGGAACAGAGGAGTTAGACGACATAGCGGAGTCAGGTCTTGGCTTGGCGGCATGAACAGCTCCACTCTCCTGTTTTGTTATGTTAAAGTAGGAGTCGTAAGACTGATCGCGATCATGCAACGATGCAGCTGTGTGAGCGGGCACCTGCTGCTCTACCGTTATCGTTGATATTTGATGATCTCGAGTTGAGGAACGCAATGGATCCTGTTTAATTTTGGTTTCGGTACTGACAAAAGTTGTTGAGCGACGACGATGTCTGTGTGTACCACCAGGAGAAATGGAGCTCCAAGAAGATACTGATTCAGCTCGATGTCGAGATGAGTGGTGGTAGTGTCTGCGGCTTCCACCAAGGGAAACGGAACTCCAGGAATCCGGGGAATCTGTTCGTTGGGTGGGAATAGGTGGACCAGAAGAAACAAGACTTGCTCCAACCCTGCCAACACCAACATGAACGTTGTCTGCTGTGAGGTGTAGTGGATAAGTCAACATTTGACCGCCACACATCGTTTCGGTCGAAGAGCTGGTCATCAGAGATGGTATGCCACCATGAAGTTGGGAGGCGTAACGACAGGTCTCGCTTGGCTTAGCGGTAATACTAGCATTGGTGTCGCCATATTCATCTGTATCCAGACTAAGCTGGGAGGAGCTCCTTTGCTCTGTCATCTCATAGTCTGTGCCAACACCCTCCGAGATACCGGTTTCTTCTAGATCACTTTGAGAGGCACCTAAATTTATATGAAGTTTGCAATAATTCATACACCTCTTGATGCACATCGAGAGTAGTCTTAAATAAGTGTTTTGCCTTAGTACCTTTTCTTTGCCTCAAAGACAATTAATTACTTCCAGTTTTATAGAGACCTATCCACTCACTAAAAGCTGTACTTAGTGATGAATAAAAGCAAGACTAGAGTGGAGCACTGGTTGGGTATGACTATTTACAGGATCACAAAGGAGAGCTAACGAGTTTCTCCGACATTGAGCTGTTTCGCATAGGAGACATAAAGGCATCGAGTAGACCATAAATTTACATAAAAATTTGCATAATTTTGACTTGAATGAAGTGCCAAGGTATTTCTACTTGCTACTCCTAGAGATAGACTAAAAGAAGGTGAAGAACTTACTGCCTCTCTTCTTTTTCCTAAAGATCTTCTTGAAGAAGCCTGAAAAGCGGTCACGCTTGCGTGCCTTTTCATCACCTTCGTGGCTCTTTTTGTCTTTCTTGTCCTTATCCTTGTCCCTCATCACCACTACAGCAGTTGTTGGCAAAGTGGCGCTTACATTAGCACCGGAGGTACCGAAACCCGCTCCATTGGAAGCGGGCAATGTCGATGATTTCGAGTTGTAAAGGTTTCTATCAGTAGATACCGGAGCCGCAGAGCGCACTACATTGTCCTCCTGAGCAACCACTACTGGAAAGTCAGCACCAACGCTTGCACGAGCAGACCTGTTTGGGGCATTAAGACTATTCATGCTAGTTGAGCTCATTGAGTGACCGCGACCTATTGCGACGCTACTATAAGGAACAGGCTGTGCGTTTCTATTAGTTGCATCCAATTTCCAGGGCACATTCACACCACTTTCACCACATAGAGGAATGCCGCTAACGGAGGAATTCCCAAGAACCCGGTCATGTGCCTCATCAACGAGGTTGGAGGCAATTTCAGAGGATTCACCTTTGAGGAGGTTTTTCTTCTCCTTAGCGCTCACTGTGCCAACCATAATAGGAGGCTCATGAACAGCGGCATCCTTTTCTGGTGGTCTCGAGTGTTGAACACCGCCTATTGAGCTTTGCACTATGAGGTCTTCGTTGCCCCAATCAGCGTCGTGTCTAACCTGGTAGGTACCTGCGATTGAGTCTGGCGCAGTCTCTAGGTTATAAGAACCCCTTGAACCAATGATAGGCCCAAAGCTTTTCCCATTTGTGGAAAGCAGATCTTTCTGAGTCAACTTGAGAGGCACTGCTGTGTGTGTGTCAATGTAAGTAATGTAATCACTTGACATACCACGTTTGCCTCCAAGAATGTTATCGGCGATCTCTGCAGAATCCCCTTTTAGTTTTCCTTCTTTCTCTTTCCTTTTGTGCTCCTCTTTTGATGTATCCATTGTTCCCCCTCCCAGGCTCGCTAAGTGAAGGGGAATATCAAGATTAGGATCAGTGTGAGTGAGGTTCTCTATTGAGGTTCTGCTTTTAGCTGAACTATCCATCAGATGAGCAGCAATGCTAGGCGTGTCACCCTTGATTTTTGAGGATTTACTTTTCTTTTTCCTGCTCTCCTCTCCAGCTATACCCATGCCCACACCGGCATCCAAAGAAGCACCACTGGTTGTTGATGTCAGCGACGCACTTCGACTTCGCGATCCACTGTCATGACCGAAACCAGGACTTCTGCTGCCGCTGCTGTGTGAAATCGATCTACCCGCCATAGCAAGCCCCGCGTCGGAGTGCATTTTATGATAAGTCCCACGTTTTACGTCATAGGATTTCTGAGCTTCTTCAAGGTTGTAGGAACCTTTAGCGTGGGGACCCATGAATGAACCATGAGAGGGAGTGTGTGAAGAGATGGGCGTCGAGGTCTTGGGCTTCCTGGCGGCAATCTCAGCCAAGGAAGCTTTCGCTTTCTCTGGAGAAGGCTCCGGATTTGCGTAATCAACAGTGGCATTTTTCTCCGTCACTAGGACGGCGCCTACACTAGCACCACTTTTGTCTGAAATTTTGTGTGATTCAGGATGCTTCTTCCCAAAGGCTAGTTTCTTTTTGGACTCCTTTTCAGATTTCCCTTCCTTTTCTCCTTTTGAATCCTTCCTTGATCCCTTGCTAATGTGAATTCCTCCAAGGTGATGCTTCTTTTTATCCTTCCCCTCTCCTTTCATATTTGCATCGGCCGGTGGCGAGGAAACAGATCGTGATTTTCTGCTCCCATGATGGAGGCTGAATCGCCTCTTCTCTTTCTCCGAATGCGTAGCAAGGTTTGGTACGGAAGCGGCTCCGGTAACAACAAAGGCTCCTGTGCCATCTGCGCTAAGTTCCCGGCCTCCTTCTTCTACCCATACATCTTCCAGGCTACCTGTGGCATACTGATTTTCTTCTTGAACCGCACTTGGAATGGAAGTTTTAGAACCCTTTTTGAAATGAAGTTTCTCGCGAAGGCTACGATGCTTTGAATCGCCCACTCCAGAAGATTGGCCAGTGGGACGCTTTGAAGACAGTGGTAGGCTTGAACGTTTACCCGGGGTAGCTGCATTAGACATAAATACATCAAACGACGGATCAACAGAAGCTCGTACGGGTTCTGCAGCAACAGTATTTTTTATGGCAGGATGTTGGTCAATTTCATTATTTAATGACAAACGACCATCGTCCAGATTAATCCCCGTTGGCGCCTGATTCCGAAAACTTCCGCGAGTCGGCACCAGAACAGGAGACTTAGGCTTGCGATTTGAAGAGCGTCGATTTTCAGATAGTCGTGTGAATCCAGGCGTAGCCTCAGGGCTCATAACGTACTGATTTTGCTCTAGCGGCGACGTGTTGCTGCGAATAGAAGCATCATTTTCGCTGCACAGATCCTTGAATTCAACCCCTGTGAACTCAGCCTCACCATCGATGGATATGTGAGTGACCAACGGTAGTGGAACAAGGTGCTTTTGGATGCACAAACGGTTGCCGTTGAGGTGGATCTGAAAGCCATTCAAATATCAAATAAGGTGTGCCTTTCGCTTTGGGATGTTTATGAATATGCTTTCAAAATTGCTGGTTTCTGAAGAAGTTATGAAAGAAATCGAAGATATTCTGTTTGTGTTATTCATAGGTGGCGATAAACTTCGTCTGAGACCAGAATAAGTTCTGATTCTGTTGACGAGGTTTAAGAAATGTATGCAAATGAACCTTTGTTAATCTAATAAAAATCGAGTCCGAGAGGCGCTATAAAATTTCATGTGTAGATTACTTTAAGTGGGAAATCAGAGTGGTACCGAAAATGCGCGGTGACATATCAATTTCGAAAAATGATTGATCTTTGTTCAAATTTAGTGCAATAAGAGGATCCACCTCAAAGGCTGAATCGAGGGCGATTATTCGAATTTGGAAGTTCTCCTTGGGCACAGCGGTGCCTGACTGAATCTGACGCGAAACCGTCTGGCTGAAGGTCATAGCAGTCCACTTCCCTTGATTGGTAAGGGTGAACTGCAACGGAAGAGCGGTATTTTCCCCATCCTGCACGTACTTGTCTGCCAAGACCTCTATTACAATCCTAGATGAGGGAAGAGGGATTACAACGGCTGAACTAACACACGTCTAAGTACAACAATTCAGCTCAGAACCGTCCCTACCAACACAAGCCTAAATGTATTTTTGTTAATTTCCTTGTACAAAGTTTACAGAGATTGGCCCTTGGCATTAGTTCGCGTCCACGACTGAATACCACAAGCCCATTTTACTGGAAAATGGCACACACGAAAGAAGGACAAAATTGATTTCGAATTTAGTCTTCAACTCGCATACAAGATCATTGAAGTGGCACCAAGAATTTCTGTAGAATTGGATGGGATCATGAGATTAAAAGCAATCTCAGAAGGTAATATTTATATAAACACTACTACGAGTTACCATATTCATTAAACATTTGCTATGCATTGCGAGCTTGATGCAGCTCATGTCGATTTGGTATTAAAAACAACCAGTTAATAGAGCAACTTACTTTTCTCCATAAAAGTACCCAGTTATTTCAATAACATCCTTATCCAAAAGACCCCCCGGAATTTCATAGTAGAAGCAAGGATCCTAAAACGGGAATCGTAAGGAGCACTTTAGGTGTGGAAAATTGCTTATGCGTACAAACACCAACTAGTTATTGCCACGCGACGGCAACTTTTTCCACATCCATTCACATTTCAATTCTGGATAATGCAATCGTAGCTCAATCCCATTATGAATGTTATTAGTTGAAAGCAAATAAAATCGTCGAAAAAATGACTCTGACTCTCACTGAGGAGGATCTAACATTTGGACCACCAACAGGTACTCGACTTCCCTAGTAGTAGATATTTTTGCTCGTTCGTAATCCACATTAGCAGCATCAATGGATGTCAGAAGGCCAAAAAGCAGTCGTTTTTGGTATGTATGTCACACCATGATACCAAAATACAGGTGACTTAAGCTTTACATTGACTTCATAAATGAAATTTAAGTTAAATCATCGCAGCGTTTTGTCTTAAAAGCACATAATGACCAGACCGATATTCCATTTGGGTCTGAGACATTAAGAAATGTAATTTCAATGCATGAATTTCAAACAAATGTGACATTTCAGAAAACCTACACCTGAAGCTCCTTCTTCGCTATGATACTCCTCCATATTGATAATTCAAGGGCAGATTCCTTCTGGAAACCTACAATTTTAAGTACGCAAAAGTGTTTCAGTGAATCTGCCATGGTTAGTTAAAATTGCTGGAATGGGAGAAATTAAAGTATCTAGATTTTCCACAGATTTTCATCCACCCAGATGCACGACATAGGTGGTGGCACCATGGGTTCAGCTCCTGACGGCGGCTTCACGTACGACAAAGTCAACCATGTCCTAACCCTTTTCCACTTGAGGTTATTTAAGTCTATGATAGATATTTCAATCAAATTATGTTTGAGACAGACAAAAACCCATTGACCATGCAAAGTTCATGTGAAATTTCATTTTCGAGTCTTATAGCAGCTTTTGTGCTGAATTATTAGCTTTTAAACAAAACAAACAAAATAGTAGAACGCATAGCACTCAAAGAACGGAGAAGAGTACATAAGTTGTCATTAAGGAAATTGTTTTCAACAATTGAGTGAAACTTACAAAACTGGATGTTTGTTAAAGATGGATGTGAATACTAGGTAAATAGTCCGGAAATGCCAGGCAAAAGCTTTCTAGTGTGGTGTGCACTCACTTTTTAGTGCTCTGAAAAGTAAATCTGACGATAGCACTTCAGGTGTCAAATAACTGCCCAGTGGTGGGCATCGATTGGAGCTCACAAGCCCGCACCTCTCATGCGTCGACCAATCGGCTGCCTGATGTGTCATTAGTCACACACGCAGATACACAACGCACACCGCGATGTAGATGTGTGTGCACTCATGCGTTTCCGCTTGCTGATCGGGTCTGTGCTCACCTTTCAGCCTCAGAGGGACCATAACTTATATCTGCTGATACCATCCAGCGTAGGCTTCACAT